CCACTGTGTAATGCTGCCCCAGATCTGTAATTACAGCACACATTGCCTAGTACAGTGTGTAGGTCAGTCCATTTGCATTTCCTGTTCAATTCAAAATGAATTCCCTTTTTAGATAATAATGTGCATCTATTATAGTTTTCTTTGTGTGCCATGATAATGTCCGGTGAAATATATGCAGTTCTTGGAATGCCGAGGAAAACTCAATTTCCTCACATCTGTAGCATGCATACATTCCTCTGCTTGAATGGTTTGATGAATGACCATTCAAGGGGCAACAATAGAGCTCAAAAGCAGAAAATGTGTTCTCTTGCACCACTGTGAGGAAAGGCCACCTTTAGGAAGTGCTTTACTTCTAGACCGTGCCGTGTTTTTCATCTGAATGGCAGTTGCCAGCCGAGTAGGCGATGCACCGTCCAAGGGTAAACATGGCCGCCAGCATTATTGTTCAGGGTGATGAGGCACCTAAGCAGGCGCGCCTGTAGTCACACAGCTCAAATGAGCACAACACTCACGTGTTCAAAAGGAACGCTCATAGCAAATGTGCACCGCATGCATACACACATGCGGAACATGCAGTCATGGCTTTAGCTTCACAGTGTTTACCTATTGTGTACCAGATGAGATTTACTTGCCCTGTTGGCACAGCTTGAGAACAACATGTAAACGATGCCAGCCAAGGCAATTAGTTTGGATTCCGACAGGAGGCCGAATACGAGACAGGAAGGATGGGTGTTACTGCGACAGTTTCCAACATGAGTGCGTGAAGTGTCCTCCCAACCTTTAAAAAAAAAAGTGTGCTAGCTAGCTGGATTGAAATTGAATGTCAGACAGGTTAAAAATTACAAAAAATGGAAAGAAAAGAGTCCCAGCATCAGTACAGGGGGGCTGTGTGCACCTTTTCCTTTGTCACTCACTTCACCTCCCTCTCTCCATTCCCCCCCCGGAGCCCTTTGGTGGAAAAAAATGTCAAATGATCACGCTTCTGTGAGCACCATCTGGCAGCTCGTGCACTTATAGCACCCATCACATCTATCTCTCACTTTCCTGCCAACCTTCCACACTACAGTAGTACACTTAACCCTTTGTTCCGCAGGATGGAAGTCAATAGGAGCCGCTCACAATGGCTCCACTCTCCATTTGACCATGAGAACACTAACCTTAGGTGACACGCAAAGCGAATCTGCAGTAGAAAGTGGAATTGAAAAGGCAAGCATTGTAAATGTGTGAGGTTTAAATGCAGACACCAATGGCTCTGGCTGGAGTCATTTAGACTTTCAAGGTACTTATTTTGTAAAATGCTATGTATCTATCCATCTATCTTACACAGAAAATGCCACATAACGGGGTTAATACTGCATGCAATTAAATTAAATGGAAATTGTGGAAAAAAATCCAACTTCAAATAGTACCACAAATGGATATTGATTTCATTAAGATCCTAACACCTTGATTGAATGGAAAAGAGACAGTAGATCAATCGTAATAATGTCTACGGTGGCATTAATAACAGCAGTATTCAGGGAACATATTGACAACTGTACATGGAAGGAAAAAAAGGACAAGAATTCTAATTATTTGGAGTACAAACAGGCTATTGATTGCGTGAAAAGAGCAATCAGTGTCACCGCACACAGACGCATTTCTCCTCTCGGGACTCATTTTGTATATGTACATGTGATGCCAATTTTCTGTATGGACACAACAGGGTGTTACAGAATGTTTACATCACTACGTAAAGTGACCTGCAAACTGCAAATATGGGGGCGATGGCGCTGAATTTCCAGTATGGAGATGGTCTTGATTTTCACTGCATATTGTATCAGGCAAAGTGTGTTGGGAACTTGATAATCTGTTTTTCCGTGGTGCACATGCCAAAAGCAATTGGAACAAGGCCTGAAATGGATTGTGTTAGCAGACACAGATAAGATGAATAATTTGGTGGCAATATGGCATCCCAAACATTTATGTAGCATTGCGTATTAATCAGTTCAACATGTTCTTGAATGTATTTGTGGATAATGGACAACAAAGGGCCAAGTAGAATGCATTTGGCAAACAGCTGCCAATAGTATTGAATGCTTCACATTTTATTGCTTTATCATTTCATTGACATGCTTATATCTGTTAATGGAAGATACAGAATATCCTCTCAATCTTATTTATTTGAAAAAATGGCTTATCTAATCTTCTTTAGAAAGTTTAAATATATGGTACTGTTAATCCAGGCAGTAAAACACATTTTATTTCAAATTGGAACATTATGTGTCACAATAATCCTTAATCGCCCATTTATATGAAGTCTGTGACCATTCAGTGTCACTAATTCACCTGATAGTTCCAAATAATTTGGAATAAATGCCTAAAATGTTACAATATGATGAGTTTATTCCATCTAGCTCACGTGCTGTTAAAGCTACTGCTTGCAGAAACGCAGTAGAAGAAATATAAATAACTAAAAGGTTTTCTGACACAAGTTTGGCAGTTTCAGAGGATTTGGGCTGATAGGTGGGGGGTGAGTCAGCAGAATCTGGAAAAATGAGAGCTGGAAATGGTGGGTACGGATATAGAAGTGAAGGGACATGAGGCAGAGCAAGAAGTAGAGTGACAAGAGTGAGAAAGTGAAAAAGAGAATTCAGAAACAATTAAATCCCTCTGTCTTTTGGACATGTTCCACAGGATAAAGTTTTCTCCTGCTTAAGTGTAATAGACGTTGTTTAAGGCCTGTTTTTGACTGCCAATCCATCACATATAATTTATGTTCATCACGCATTACTGGTCAAGTTTCAAAACTCGATGAGTCATACTTGCTATTTCCAAAAAAAGACTGCTTAACTAATTTCAACTTATCCTGTTCATCATGAGGAGGAATAAACCATATTACTAAAATGACTGACTACTTACTACAACAAAAGTACATCAATGCTAGCAGTCCTCTAAATGCTAATATCAGCATGCTAACATGCTCACATTGTCAATGCTAATGTGTTTAACATGTTC